ATAAAAGATACCATCTAATTTCATTATTTATCTTGTGGATTCCTCCTATTAGGCAAACAACGCCCTTAGAACCGCTTATTAGGGCTGAGATTCCATGGAGTCGCTTCATTAGATGAAGAAACATTCGATATCAGTTTGTGGAAAAAACCATTTAGAGAAGTGTCAGACGATTATTCTCGTTTTTGCAGATGGTGGGCACGACCGCCATAATCACCCTTTAATGACTAGGTTCACACGCTGTCTAGTTTAACTATTATTTCTTTTAACTAGAGGGTTTATTTTTGGTGTGGCCATTTACTACAAACGGCCTCTGCCCCCTTTTTCGTTTCGTTTCTTCCTCTCTCTCTCTTTTTTTCCTTTTATATGTAAATGAAGTTTTGGAACTCCGAACTGTTGAATCATCCGAACTAAGATTTTCATAATAGATTTCATTTTAGATGGATGACTGCATTGCCATTAGCAGCCAGCTCGACAGCAATTTCCCAAATTTAAAAAATTGTCGGTGAAATCGAGTACAACATCCTAAGTGGGGCCTCTGTGTTCATTGGTTTGGTTTTGCCAGATGTCAATTCCCGCAACAGCACTTTTTTTTTATATTACCGCAAATGGCCTTAAAGCACAATCAACTTTATAAGTAAAATTCCTGGGCATGAAAGGCCTGAGTATCTGTCCACCATGGTCAGCGGTCAACGAAGCCATTAGCTTAAATAATTAACGATTATTAATGTTATACTTTTTGTTCTTCTCCTGAGGCACTGTAGCCTACTGCTGGCCAAGCCCGCCTCAATCAGTCTATGCCATCTGGACCTATTCATGGCAATATTCCTCCAGTCTCCCATATGTATGGTATTAATGTCATCCTCAACAACATCAAGCCATCTAATTTATGGCCTTCCTCACTTTCTAGCTCTCGTAGGTTTAGTAAACGTGAGTTGTTTTACTGGGTTTGTGGCTTCAGTTTTATATACTCATCAAAAACATCAGCAAGATTTCTCAATGTTCCACTCCTGTAAAGAGTTCTAATATTCCAGGTTCCAATAATTGAATCCATTTTCTTGCCATGTTGCTTGGGTGAGATCCATCCAGAATTAGCTCCTTGAGATTTATCGACAGGTATTATTCTTGTACTAGTGTGATCAAAAAGAATCGGGAATGATCTCATAAGATTCCACAAAAATTTTATTTTTTAGTCAATATTTATTTTATCCTCTTAAAAGTAATCCCCTCTGACTATAATGCCGTTTTCTCAAATCCTTTAAACCTGTTTTAAAATTCATATTCGTAAAATTCCTTCAGCACTTATACGATCTTTCTTTTATTGCATTGATAGAATCAAAGGATTACCATGTAACGGAAATTTTAACTGTGGAAACAGGTTCAGGTTAATGATCGTTTTGGACCTTGCTTCAGCTCATGTATTTTTGTATACTAAATCAAAATCAAAATTAGACTGATGCAAACTCGTGGAAACAAAAATAGCATTCGAACAAGAATCGTCAAGTGTTATACTCGCCTTTCGAACTACGCATTTGTATCGTTAATCGCTTCGTCATCTTGATAATTTTGCATCACAGTCAGCTAATACTGTCTGAATTTGCTGTCATTGACAATAAACGAATATTATGATAAAGTTTTACTAATTACAATCTAATAGTACCCCAAAATATCCACTTAATTACCGAAACTCATATTCTCGAGTGATAAATGTCACATCCTTGGCTCGATTTGCAAAATAAGAGGGCCTAGAGCAAAATCTTTTTGAGAGTGTCCCTTCCCTCTCATTCCATTCCGTGTAGTAGATATGATCGCTGAGAATTATATAAATATTTTGTGAAATGACCTAATAATTTACTATTTATTTAAAGTTATTTTGAAAAATGCATATTTCACTTTCTATAAGTTTTGTTTTTATGGTTTTATTCTATTAAGTGTTGCATAAGCTAATACATTTTAAACCAGATTAAATTTTTTAAAAAAATATTTATGTTTAATTCTGTGAAAAAGACTATAATAAAAAGAAAAACCTAAAGAATTCGGGCTGATTTTGTTACAAACCTTACCTATTTGAAAAATGAGATCAAATCAAATTAATGCAACTAAATTGTATGTTTCTTAATAAACAAGTGTATAACCACCTCTAGAATAATCAAAATGACCTAGCTAATTATGTAACATCATGAACTTCAAATGAGGTGGTCATGCAATATCAAAGTTTGGGTCTTCAAATTGACGTTAGTTTACAATTTTAAGTTTCATTAAGCGATACGAATATCCAAGGAGAGAGAAAAAATTCGAGTGTCTGATTTGCGAAAAAAATAAATACAAAATCCACATTTTGTTGCTGCTTATATGCCTTTAAAACACAGAACTGATAACAGTTGTAGAAACATTAGGTATTTATTTTTTAAATATTCGCCTAAAATTATCTCAAGGAAATAATTACGCAAAAGTTAAAGAGAAATGATATATTCAGCTATAGAGAGACATCAGAATTGCTCTAAAATGAAAACGCACTATTATAGATCAATTTCTCTTTCTTTAGCATCACTCAAATTTAGAATCCTTTCTCATTCGTGGCATTGTTATCAACTTTCTCACACTAGTTTGATCGAAATTGATTTTCCATTTTTATTAATAACAGAACATATCCTGCAAACAGAGTATTAAATTTTGGCACGAATGAACAAATCCTGACCTTTGTTTTTCGATAACGAGAATTTCAATTTGTTTCGATATGTATCCGAGAGAATTTTGAATCTTTTCTCCGATAGCAGGTCATTAAAAGTGCTCGCGTCACTTTAGGATCCCTAACAGAATTAGACATCGTGCTTGGAGATAAAATTGCTAAACATATCATCTCTCTATCTCCAGATTACGTCCGCTCGATCCGTTAAGAAATACAAATCACGTAATCGTAACTGTCAGCGAACATAGATGCCGGTTTTCTTACTTTCTTCCCCTCCCTTATATGTTTCAGAAAGTAGTAAAGATTGATGGGAGAAACGTTTCAATGCTGAACGGCTGCATCTTATTTAATCAGAGACTTAAGTGAGAAAAGAAGGTTTTTAGGTATAGGCGGCTAAGGATTATCAGATGACATTTCTGATTTGATCTCTAACGTCAGTAAGATGGCTTTATATGATTAAAATGAATTTAGCGTAATCTAAGCACTAGCCTAACTTCGTAGACTGCCGTCCAGTCTCTACCTTTCAGAACCAAAACTCTTAGTAAATGCAACAACATTAAACAACTAAAAATTTATTTGAAATTTAATTAGAAGTTTTAGATCTAAAACAATTCACAAAATAAATCCCCTCTTCTTGCGGAATTCAACTTTCTTGCTACAATGATTCAAAGTATTTAAAGCATAACAACCTGCCTGTGGTATTCGGCGACTACTAATTTAATTTTTCGGACAGAAAGACTGAATTGGTGGTAACAGCATTAGAGGCATACCATAGTAAAAGAGTTTCTTCACAGTAGACTGATGAAACTTAAGATTCTCATTCCTATACTATAATTCTCATTTCTATAACATTCTGGTAGAGTAGTGGAATAGATGAAACAGCAGAAGTGCAGGAAGGATTTAACATAATAATGTGTTAACTAAGCTAAACCCTGTAAGGCATTAATTTATTTTATCTGGCCAGTTATTTTATGTTCAAAATTATACTGTCATTTCCTCCCTTTGAGTTTTCCTGCCAGAAAGAAAATCCCTCTCCGCGTGTGATAGCATTCAAATAAAAGACTGCTTATCTCTGAACTAATAAATATTTTTTTAAGAAAATCGCAGCAGAGTCTTATCACTGCTAAAACACATTCTACCACAGTCACCAGATATCAATATTATTGAGCCTTTGTGTGCTGTGTTGGAGAGAAATTTGCATAAGCGCTATCCACCACCACCATCAACTGAACTTGCCAAAGTTTTATGTGAAGAATGGTACAAGTTTCCCGTACAAAGCATACAAGACCTCTTTTTATACATTCTCATAAGATTGAAAGCTGTTTTGAATGCCAGTGGTTTTCCTACCTATTTAGTCGAAGGAATGTGTTTTCATTTCGGTCTTTCTATATTTTTGTCTGACCTCTGGACCGAGTGAGTATGTGACAAAATGATGCATGAAAGAATCAGTATAAAGCTATCTGTTAGTACAATTTAAATAAAAAGCCACTAATCTTCTTTAATATATGTGGGACTGTTATAAATGTAAAATAAAAAATGTTTCAAGGACTTTTATAATATAATGCTAATTACTTGAAAAAATTTGAAGTTAATTTTTTTAAAATTTGTTTTATAATTAAGTTAAATATTAGATTATATTTTTAACCCTTTTGGTCCTACGTCCCAGATAGAGATTAGATTTCATACTGCATTGGGTAAATAAAACCGACTTTTAAATGGGTTTTTACATTGTCACTGTTTTTAAGGAATTAGGGAACAAATATATGAATAAAAAAACCTGACAATACTTGAATATATGAATTAAAAAAACCTGACAACATTGCAGACGGTGCACTTATGTTTTTGAGCACGCCAATTACTCAAGTTTCAATTTATCTATTATTATTATTATTTTTTTAATTTTACAGCAAATGCAATTTTTAAGGCATACTTAGTATGAAATTGTTCTTATTAAGTAGTAATTTAACATTTTTAATGCCAGATTTAAAAAATGTTGAATAAACAGATTTATTTTATTCTTACAAATTACAAAAGTGAAGTTCACATGTAGGTAATTGCTTTAGTCAATTCAGTTCCTGTTTGCTTGATAGGTCCTTAATTTTTTTATTGATGGTCATAAAATGTACTTAATTTTAACATGCGGAAGTGTGTTTGAACCATATAAAATTTAAATCGATGATCATCTGTGGTCCAGGAATGCAATTTATATATTAATATAATGCAATTTATATTAATTCCTATGGAGAAAACTGTTTTTGTGTACGAACATTTTGGTTGATGAACAGCCTTCAGGGATGAATTAAAGTGGTGAATCAAAGTTTCACTGTGTTATTTTAATTGTATATAATGTTATGTTAATTGTATGTAATGTGTATTTTATTACAGAAACTGAAGAGCAACAGTGTCTGAGATTTCAGATCGAGTTGGAATTCATACAGTGTCTTGCCAATCCTAATTATTTAAACTGTAAGTTTTTTAATAATTATCTTATGATTTTATGTTTTTAATGTCAGAAACCTGCCTTTGTGATATAAAACTGATATAAATACTTAATGTTATTCATAAAACTCTCTTCTCTGCAAGATGGCATAAAATACTGGGTTCTTTTCTGTTAAAGGTGTGCCAAATGTACACATTGGCATGAAATCTAACTAGATGGCAGAAAACCTAATGATACATAAAAGATTATGAAAATAATAACTATTTTATATGTAACTAGCAGCTTCGCTGCCAGCCTTCGTCTGGCTTTTAAATGTACCGGAAAAATGGCTGAAGGGAACACCAAACGTTAAATTTAAAAAATGCATAGAATTTTACTCTGCAGAACAACTTCATAAAAAAAAAGTTATTACGTATAACAAAATTACAACGAAATAAGCAATATCCCTTAATACAAATATTAATTATCGTAATAAATAAATTAACCAACTTCCCTTTGCAAAATCTTAAGAACTCAAATGGTATAAAGGAAGTTAAGAACTTTGTTTCCTAAAAAAATCACTCAAAACTTTCAATATCTTAAAAACAGTGAAATGAGCAATAAATAACATAAAAGAATATATAAAAAAAACAAATTCTGAAAAGCAAAGTATAATTAATGATATTTTATCTTATATTTTTTTTCTCTTAAAAAAATTAGGTGCTACTTTGGTAGACGGTTGCACGGATTTTTGGCGATTTACATTGGCGCAATTGTTGGCGCGGTTTTTATAGTCATCAGCCGTCTTGAAAAATGCTGTTTCTACGTATTTTATGCATATAGTAAAGTATTAGAAACTTTAAAAAAATAAATATCGTTTAAAATAATGAATTAATTTTTTGTTGAAAACGTTGTTTTTTAAGATGGCTGGCAAATGTAAATAAGTACATTTACTAAGAGTATAAAATGCTAAAGTAAGGTTAAATTATTACTTTCATATAACAGAATAAAAACACCGCTATAAAAACATTGCACCAACATTTAATTGGATTAAAATATTGCTTAAATTGAATATCGAATTAAAAACATCATACCAACGTTTAAAAGAATTAAAATATTATTTAAATACTTTAAAATAAGTTTTATAGGATTTAATTATTTAACATTAAAACATATGTGACCATAAATATCTCAGGAATTTTGAAAACCTTGTATTAATTTTTTAATAAAATTGAAGTATACAATTATAAAGTAAAAGAAAATTATGTACTTACATTTTTTAAAGTATTTTACCTGCCGTATTGATAAGTACCAAAAAAAAAAACGATCTTCATCTGTGATCCACATCTCTCGCACTTCATTGGAGAAGCAATTAGCGAGGTTTTCTCCAAAAATTTAAAATAATTTCCTCTGACGCTATTAACAATTATAAATAAATCTTTGATAGGAAAAGCCAAGTTGGGCAAATAAGGTCTCAAAGGGCAATTTTTTTATTCTGATACCAATAATTCTTGGTAATTACCAATAACAACATTCATCTTCAAAACGGACGTATCCATTCCATTTAAAATCTGAGGAATTCGAAGAGATGAATAATAAAATTTTAAAATGGCGTGGTAATGCACAAATATTCAGTAACCAATAAGGGAGCTGATTACATTATGCATGGAATTAAAATTATTTAAATAATCATTCATAATAAAATCATTTTTAAAACAAATGCAAAATTAAATTGTATTTTAATTTTAACAGCCATAAATAATGTTTAAAACATTAGATTAAATTTATAGATATTAATAAAACCAATTATGTTTTTTTCAAATAAAAATGCAAAATTAAATTGATTTTTAATATTTAGCCATAAATAATATTTAAAACACGGAATTTATGCATAACAAAATGCGTTATTTTTTAAATAAAATGACAACAAAGTATCAGTTACCATAAATAACTTATCCAGCAATGGGTTTACCATAAGTCATGTTACTCACCAAAAGAAAAATTACCAAAATCTGTGCAACCGTCTACCAAAGTAGCACCAAAAATTACAATGAAATAAGCTATATCCCTTAATACAAATATTAATTATCCTAATAAAAAAAACTTTCCGTTGAAGAAAAAAAATCATGCAAAAAACTTTTCAATATCTTACCAACACAGTGAAATAAGCAAAAAATAACACGAAAGAAACTCTCAAAAAACAAACATTCCGCGCAGAATTTTACTCTGCAGAACAACTTTATAAAAAACATCAATAAAAATGTATTATATATAAAAAATGGCACTGAAATATGCCACTCTCTTAAAAACGATGAAATACAATGAAAAATTGTTGCCAAACCCATATTTCTAAAAGAATGAAACTATTAAAAATGATGCGATTTCATCAAAAATCTATCAACAACAATAAGAAAGGAAAATTGTTGCCAAAATCACATTTGTAAAGATGTGAGAAGTGTACTCGGAAGCTTCATTTAAAAAAAATTTTAAAAATACAAAATTTTATTTTTCCAAAATTCTTTTTGTATAAGCAGTCGCAAGGATGAAAGTTAACGTGTCCAAAAATCAAAGAAAAATAAACTGTAACATTTTTAAACATAAACTTTTTTAGAAAAAAATCCCATTGAAAAGGTGTTAAGGCTCACTTTGTTAAATAAATTCGTATTGAATCGATTTATTGAAACACGAAATTTATTTTAAGTTCGTAAAATAGCTAAGTGCCTACATTTCATGACGATGTGAAAATGGAGTGCGTAGAGTAAAATCTCGCTTTCCTATAGCCCATTATGTCTCAAAATGACGTGATTTCGTCACAAAGCATAAAATAAAAAAATTCAAATTCGAATTTCGAAAAAATCGCTTCGAGGTGCACTGGCTCTTGTCTAGATGCACCTATGTACCAAATTTCGTAGCCGTGGGTTATTAGCTTACGCGCAGCGCTAACGAAAGACACACACACACACAGACAGACTCTTTGTTTTATTATATGTAGAGATGATTATCATATTCCATGTGTAAGCTGCATTCTTAATGTTTACTTCTAAATTAAAAACAAAAAAAGATGATAAACTGTGGATAGCCTGTTTACCACCTATTGTATTGTCAGTATCACTACAGAACCTCAGATATCCTCAGAGCCATGTAAAGAATTAGATGTTTCACACTTCAAAAATATTTCAAAATTTTTTTCAGGTTTGATACATGTTGCCAGGTTTGGCGAGTTTTCGTAACTTGGCAACTTACACATAATTTGCATTCTAACAAGAGAAGTATGTTTTTTAAATGTTTTTTTCTTATCTCTCCCCTCAGATATTCCAAACCTCTAACCTCTTTAGGTATGCGTGCAAACACCTCGGATCCCCAGATGCCCACTCTAATAGTTTCAGTAAGTGTCGTTATCAGTGCCAGGTTCATTCTTGCTCACAACATGAGAGGCACAATAGCTGTAGAATAATATGAGTAGAAACAATTTATAAATAGGCATTTATAAACACAAAACACATTTATAAACAAATAGTGTGTTTCTGTATTAACTTCATTCAGAGTAACCGTAACTATTATGTTAAAAGTGATGAATTAAATAATAGTTAAGGTGAGATAATTTGTTGTAGAATATTTTTTTTCTTTAAGTGAACCAAAAAGTGAAATAAAATAAGACTGAATTGGTATATACCAAAACCAATCAGTTTAATTTTTTTATTCAAAAGCTACTAAAATGTTTTGGTAATAATGTAATGTATTATCCCGTTTTTAGCTATTACTTCCTTGTACAAACTAAAGGAAGTATTGTAATCACACACACACACACAAAGAAAAAATATTATATTTTAATGAAAATATCCATGTCAACTGCTCTCGAAACGATTTGAGCAATGTTTTTGTATAATATTTGTACGTACGGGTAGAATAATGGACTGTTTTTGCTAAAAATGGATTCAAAAGAGATTTTTGGATGTATGCATCTCGCATAACTCAAGAACGAGTAGCCGTAGAATGTTGAAATTTTGTATATAGGACTATCATAACATGTGGTTGTGCACCTCCCTTTTTTGTTGAAATTGGTTGCACCAATAATATATAAATATAAATTATCTCATTTCTCACTTTGTTTCTTGCCTTGGTGAACTTAGTTTTTTTTATTCGGATATGTTGGTAAATTGTGCATTTTTTGCTTCAGAAGTGATTGAATTATGTGGTTTTTATGTTTCAGTTAAGATTTTTATGCTTTTAATAAATTTGTATGCAATAGTTGCAGAATTGTCAACAATTTAAAAGTTTAAGTGTGGAGTTAAGCCTAATGAACAGCCATTTGTTTACATTTGAAACTGTAGAATGGTGAAATAAGTCAGTTTTTGCACCTTCAATGTCTTTTTGCCAAGTGGTACAAAAGTAAACTTTCAGTTTTGTGCACTGAAAAAGCTGCTTTCTTGCCCGCTGGCCAAATTGCTTGTTTTTCTTATAATAATTTTAATTGTAAAAAAAATGTTTTAATTGCATTTGGTGTTTTATGTTTTTCTATATCTTTCAAATTTTTAATGAAGATGTTTTGAGTTTTTATGTATTTTTGCTTTTGCCGCGAAGTGAGAACTGAATTAATTGAATGAGAAATGTATCTCTAAGAAATTCAAGGAAATAAGTTTAATTGAAATGCCTCAAAAAATGTGTATAATTGAATAGGCCATACGAAAAAGTTGTGATGTCTATATCATATTTTTTTAAGATGGCATTACCAAAATTAGCCAGTTATTTTATTTATTTGTGTTAGTGTCATATGTATTACCATAGATAAGAAATCTGTCATTTCTGCAGACGGTACTCAGTCAACTCAATTGTCTTGGAATATTTTGAAACAAAAAGTTCTACACTGCATGCAGAGTACCACATGGCAAATGCTTCCACGTTATTTTGCAGAATAGTGGAGATATGTCAATAAAAGTGATGATGATTTTTTGGCCATGCTACATGTAATTCCTAATTGTATGTGGCTGACTGACTGATAAAAAGAGCACTTTCAAGAGCCATTTCTGTTTTTGTTTTATAAAACTGGAGGGAATTTAAATTTAATGGAATTAAATATTTAACAAGTTATTAAATTAGTTAATGGAATCATTTTTAACTTATGTATTCTTAGTTATTTGCATTTATTTTCATATTTAAAAATCATATTTTATTGATATTATTTAAGAAATAACTGATTAAAAGTTATAGGTCATATATTACATCATTAAGAATACTTTATAATGATTACATCATTATAAAGTATTCTTTATAATATAATAATATAATTCTTTATAATATAATTCTTATAAAGAATACTTTATAAGTCTTTGCAGTATTTCTGTGTTTAAAAATCTTTGAAACTTCAAAATTTTTGTTCTAGAGATCATTTTTAAATTACCAACATTTGCAGCTGTTAAATAAATCCAATTTGTTTTATAGAAAAAGGATTTCTCTAAAAATGAATAAACTACTCAAAAGCAGAATTATGGAGATTTTTAATTAGCTTAAGAAATCTTTAAATCTTGCAATATACACCAAGTGAGTTTTTGTCATATTGTGAGAAGTGTCGCTTTCCTACCATCCAAGGTGGTGGAAAATTTGTGAAATGCCATGCATCCTAAGTCCTGCCATAAGTATTTATTATTTGAAATTATGGATTCATATTTTTTGTGTGTGATTTAAATAAAAAAGTACAAATGGAATTGTGTGTACAAATGCAAATTTTGAAGTTTGTTTGATTTTAATTAAATTAGATACAATGTGTATCATAAAAAATGATGGGGAATGTGTTTCATTAAGAAAATGGAAATGTGGTCAGAGGTTATTAAACCCTTTGCGTTTGAGAGGCGACTCTCACTCACCATGTGATTTGATGCTGCAACTGGAGAGGTGACTCTCATTCTCTGTGTGATTTGATGTCGCAACTTGAGAGGTGACTTGCTCACCACTGGGTTTGATAAGGAACTCGATGCTCTGCAATAACTGTTTACGTTTAGATTCTTTGAAGCAGGTTCCTACGTTCTTTCTGTATAATCTTATGAAGTGTAAAATGATACCCCTTTAATATTTAAGGTAAGATTTTCATATCTGAAATCTTATCTCTTCTTATCTATCACAAAGTCTGTTCCCAGAGAAATGACCCTGGAAAAAGGCATCAAACAACATATTATTGTAATACTTGCACCAACAAGCCGAGCATGCAACTTGGGAATTGTTACATGAAATATCTTACACAGAAAAATTAGAGACTAATATTTAAGAAATTATGTTTTATAAAGTTGTAAAGATATAAAAATTTATACATTAATTTGTGTGTGTAATGATGTTAAGTTACTGGAAAGAAATTTGTCAAAAAGGCTGCGAAAAATCTCGAGTTGTTGGTGCGGAGTGCGAAAAAGGCCTCGAATGCAAAAACTTAAAAAGTGTTCCTTAAAAGTTTCTGCATCATTTAATCAGATAGATAGAATTTTACTGTACTATCTTTTACTGAATTCATAATTTAGGTCTAGATTAGTTTCATATTGTATGTTTTATTTTTAGTAGCTGCATATTTTTTTAATACATTAAGTTATTTTATTGCTTATGTTCGTTGTTTTAGTTTTAGCACAGAGGAATTACTTGAAGGACAAAGCATTCATAAGCTATCTGAAATACCTTCAATACTGGAAACGACCCGAGTATGCCAAATACATCAAGTACGTGTGCTTTTATTCATTTTTGTGTGAACATACATACATGAAGAATAGAAAATTACTTTTTATGTGAAAATTTATGCAACATCCCTTCAAAGTTGGGCCATTTAAATGTCTGCCGATGTCATTACTATTTTGAGAAGAGTTGAGTAGTTGAGTTGTAAAAGCAGCCCCTCAGCAGCAACAGCAGGCAGAAAACAGTGAAATGACTTCCAATAGCTTGAATGAATAAGATGCTGTTAAATGTGTTAATTATGCGATGGAAATTCAGTAACAAGTCGACAGGTTTATAGCTAGGCTGTAGTAGGATTAGGAAATTTCATGTGTATAATAATACAACAGCTCTGAGACTATGTGGCATATGAATATTCCTTTCATAAGCAACATATGTGCTAATGAAATTCATAGTCCATAATTATTAGTCCAAAGGGGCAATTTGCCCTGAAGGAGTATTATTTTCATTCTAGCATTTTGTGTTGGTTCATCATAAATGTCCGATCTGCATGAATGTATGTATGTTTCTCACATTGTGATAAAAAAAAAACAGTACCTAGAGTCATCCAATTTTGAATGACGTACGTTTCCGCCCAAATATGGGTATCTGGCAGCCTGAATTTGGAATTATCTATTTCATATTTTGTAAAACATTAATGAATTTTTGATTAACAAACTCGGTGATTTAAAAACGAGCAATGGCAACACTCTGTGGGGGGAGAACCTGTATATCTCCAGCATGTGGAATTGTGTTTTGGAAATTCTAAAGATATGCTCATTTTAAAATTATTTTGTGACATTGCTGTTGAACTGAATTTTCAAGTTACTTAATTTTGGTGATGTCTAACCTATTTTCAAATTTTTCTTTAGCATAGCAGTCTCTAACTCAAATTGCATGCGAGCTGGATGCACGATCTCAAAGCAACTGATGAAACAATTTTTTTCCCTCCCAAAAATGAAAAAAATTTTAAACAAAAATTTTTAACTAAATTGAAATTTTATTTATTAAATATTTATTAAAACATAAATAATCGTTATTAATAATGATGCAAAGGGGGAAAACATTTAATTTATATTTGTTTTTTTCTTGTTTGAAATCTAAAGATTGGTATCTGCAAAAATTTTCTGATGGTGATGATAGTTTAAAGTCAAACATATTGACAACTAAATATTAAGCTGTTAAGTGGTTATGACAACATTTTTCATCATGCTTGGAATACTACCAAAATGTAAGTGATAACATTTTTGTCATTGAAATTAATCGTATTGTGTTGGACGCATTACGCGGTATGTAGTTCTTAAGGTTTAATTCTAGCATAGCATGGTTATATGGCATATTGTTTACAAGTCACGTACATGTACATTCATGTTCTTGCAATCTGCTACTTGAGCATTATTTTGCGAGCAATCGGTCTGTGCACGCACTTGCTCCCTTATACATCGTGAATCGAATTTGCACAATTTGGCTTTATTTTAGTCTGCATTTCAATATTTTACATATTGGTGATTTCAGGAATTGTTATTTTCTTCAAAATATGGCTAAAAGTTATTTGTGTGCTAAAGTATTTAAAAGCAGTGCTTCAAGAGGTATCATAATTCAGATTAATTCTTTGAACATTACAAATACTTGATTTGTATATTAAACATCATAAAATTTTTTGTGGAAATAAAAAAATATCAATAAGTTAAAAACAATTTTCTGTTATTAATAGAGGTGTAATGATATTGCTTGTCACTGTGAAACAAAATCCCCCAGTGTGAAAGGAGTTTTGCAAAATTTCATTCCTCGTTTAACAGGTTAAATATTCATACTGACATTTATTTCAAACTAGCTTTACCCGCAGCCTCGCTCGCTTTGATGTCCTTAAATAAGTTTCAACTCCCTGGGAATTTAAAAATTACACTCCGCGTAATTTCAGTAAATACTGCTCTTCTTGCCTAATAGGCCACAGATATTTTGTATTTATGCCTGACCAAAGGTTATTTTTTACAAAAAAGAACATTCGAGTGCTTTAAAATGATAAAACGATAGTTGTTAATCGCACACAGTAAAATATAAAATATAAATGCAATTTTTCAAGCAACAATAACAGAAATATATAAAAGGAATGTATAGATCTTTAAAAAATATGAAACAAAACGTTAAATATATAACAAAAAGGCAAAATGTCGATAATAGTTTGAAGTAAGTTAATTAGAGATCAACTTATTAATTTTTAAATGATTTTCCGCATGTAAATCCATGAACTTTGACCTTTTCGCCAACCCACTGGTCGATCGGATACCAGCTACCACCTCTTTCGCTTTTTAAGCGACAAAAACAGTTGCACCAGCAATGTTCCTATCATTGAGAGTGTGACACAAAGAAATTTGGATAATTAGATCAAAAGTTATAATTTTTATCACCAATTTATTGGACCCACTGGGGAAGACCTAAGAAAAATTCCCTAATGTCGCTATTGAGTCTCATTTAAACTAGCGTTTTTAGAGTTTTTAAATAATATTTTAGCTGATTAAAGTTATACAAAGATGAGTATGGTATCGATGGACTCTGAGGAATTTTTGGAATCGGGGATTATGTGTTCGAAATTGAACTAACCGCCGTTCCATAGATATTTGTGAAAAAATTAATTGCCGTGTCGCCAAATCCCTTTAATAGGGAAAACGCCCAAAAAAGTAAGTGAAAAATGTAGGGGAGTTTTTAATTAATATCTCGGCTAATTAAAGTCATAAGAAGACATTTTATAGCCTATAACCTTTTTTAATATCTCAAAAATATTTCTTGAAAATTTCATGATGATTAAGTAATTAAGGTGTGAAAGCGTAACAAACAAACACACAAACAAACTCACATTCGTATTTATAATATTAGTAAGGATAGTTCTAATATGTTGAATAAACCACTAAATAACTTACTTAAACTAAAACAAGTTATAAAAAATTTTGAAGTGGGACAAAACTTGAAAATAAATAATACTTTTCTTTTATTTATTGAATTTTTCTTTGGTACATTTTGGAAAATGCATGTATTTTTATGTAAAATAAGTACAAACTTCATTATTTGTTCCCATTTTGATTTTGTAACTTTGAGAGAAAAATTAAGGGAAATGAAAGGAAATGTAGATGTTCATTGGTCAGTTTGACTTAATTCATTTTCAGCTATGCGGAAAAAAACTTGTTCACATTTAACTGTACTCCTAAACGATGTGATTATTTTTATTGTAAAATTTTGTAACTTTAGGTATTTATCTTTTGATATATATACAAATAGAAGTTCATCAAATGCATAGCTTCAGATCTTTGAATAAGATTTATATAATAGTGCAGATTAATTGGGGTACTGTCCTGATAACAGAAAAGTGTCTTAACTAGCTCCATTTGTAGATTTTCTGAGGCGTTACACATATTCGTTTTTATTAGTAACGAAAATGAAGTAATATTAGGTTCCAACTGAAATAGTATTTTTGCCTTTTTGTTGTCATTTACATTTTATTTTGACACCTAAGAGTAGATTTTAAACTTCATTGTTTCCAACGTAGCTGCATCATTTTCTCTTTCTTTCGGTTTTGAACATTTCCAAATTTAAATAAATTGTCATAATTTTTATTATTTAAATCTCTTTACTTTAGTAATTCTCATTTTAAATTATTTGAATTGTGAATATCGTAATTTTCTGATTATAACAAAACACTAATTGTGGTAGTATAAAAAATAACTATTAAGGTCTACCAGGAAGGGATGTGTAATAATGTTAATTCAAATTTTAACACATATGCAGGTGTTCATTTCAGACATATGTGGCTCTCTGTCTTTTATCACTGCATTCATAAACATCCACTCTTCTAAATTAACTGAAACAAAAGTATCTCATGTCCATGCGATTGTGTGAACATGCCTATGGTTAAGTATGACACTGTATTTTGTACAAATTCTAGCAAGGAACAAACGTTACAGAAGCATGTCAAAATTTAGTGTGGTTGCAGTTTAGGATAAAGCATGTAGTAGATGGTTCAAAAAATTTGAAATACATCTTAATGATAAACCATGTTCTGGGTAGCCATCTGTTATTCATGATACTATTGTATAAACCATGATAGAAAAAGATCCCTTTCTGACAGCATCAGAGATTGCGGAAAAGCTTAATTCAACTCAACAAATCATTTTGCATCATATTAAAAAACTAGGTTTGGTCTTAGAAGTATTCCAGATGGGTGCTTCATGAGTCATGTTCAAAACATTTGCATAATTGAGTCATCATATGCACATTTCTGCTTGCTTGGAACAAAAACAAACCCATTTTGGACCAGATGATGACAGGGAATGAAAAGTGATTACCTACAAAAACACTGTTAAGTGATGTACAAATTGCTACATGGTGAAGAGGGCTGTGAAGCTGCCCTCTTCCACCTCTAAACCGAGTTTGAGCCTGAATAAGAGAATGTTGCAAATAAGGTGGTGCATTCAAGAACCAATACATTATGACCTTCTTAAACACACACACACACACACACACACACAAAAAAAAAAAAAAAAAAAAAAAAAAGGAAAAAAGAAAATTAGTTTAAAAAATTTGTTGCATCCACCATAGTCCCTATGCTCACCACTCTCTGATTATCACTTGGGTTTTCTCTTTGCAAATTTTTTTGAAGGGGGGGGGAAATTCAAAACTGAAGCAAATGCCAACTAAGCACTACTTGAGCTCTTGCCTCTAAGGACAAGACATTTTTCAAAAATGGTATCAACAAATAACCATCACACTCAAGAGGTCATAAGGAAGAATGAGATTTATGTTGTACAAAAAGTATAATTAAATGTATGAAAAATGTATTATTTTCTTTCATTTACTAAATGGACAGAATTCTATGGTATGCCAAATATAAACAATTATGATAGCTTACTTTTTATTTGCAATAAACTATTTTAGTACAGTCAAAAGTCGTTATTCCGGACTCGTCGGGACTTCGGCGATTCCGGATTATCGATTTTTCCGGATTATAGATCGTCAGTTTAAATCTCGTAAGATGGCATGCAGAAATTCTAAAATTAAAAATATGAAACCGTAATTTATGAAATAAAGAACAGTTATGATCTAAAGGGTATCAAAATTTGCAAAAAGAAAAAGCTTAATATTTATTTGTTTACTTAAATAAACATTTCTTTCAATGTAAGTTGTTTAAGTTTTGCTTCGTTTCATGTCATAATACTTTCTCTTTAATTCTATTAAACAGACATAATTTCTTGTTCAGTTACAAAGTTCCGCTGTTCATGTCCTATAATTGCTGTGTCAAGAACACCGACTAATTTGTCAATCGAAATGTTTTCGTTTTCAATAACCTCTGTCACTTTTCTTCGCTATCGGAAGCGAATTATAATGACGAGGAACTTGTTTTAAATCATATCAAAGACGGAGCATATCGAGATGAAATACTACATTTGGTAAGGAATTATAAGCCAAATAAAATAAAAACATCTGATCTTCAATTATAAGCCAAATAAAATAAAAACATCTGCGCTGAAGATAAGGATAATGTTGACAGATCAATTTCCAATTCATTATGTGCCCGCCGGCGCGTTCCGCCGAGCAGCGTGAAATTGATAAACAGATTTCGAATTTCAAAACATACTTTCGCTTTAGATCCTTTACATATTAACAAATATATATCGGAAATTCTATTTGATATAATCGAAAGTTTAAGCTTACTTTTATAAAATTGCTCTTACAGTCTGCAAAAAATAATAAGCCGGATCCAATTCGAAAATTAAGGAACAACGCAATCATCAACATTAACTGAAATAGATAATTAGATAATTTTAGCTTATACGTCCATTATACATAAAACGTGCATGCGAAAACGTATTCTGCACTTGCGCACACTCATATGTGCAGTCATAAAAGGTCTTACGCGCACGCTTAAACGCCTATGCGCATGTGTCAACGCGGCGCATGCGCAGAAAGTTTTTAGTTTTGAGGTCCGGATTATAGATCATTCCGAATTATGGGTGTCCGAATTAACGACTTTTGACTGTAATAGTTAATAGTAAACTATTTCAATAATAAAATATTTTAATTGTTTTTAAATATGTTATTTCCAATTCCAGAGAAGTTTTTCAATGTAAAATTTTTTAATTTATATGCATTTATCTCTGTTATTGAATCAGGTTTTAATTGGTTCTTGAAATAAAACTATAATTTATTTCTAATACCCTGAACTTGATTCTTTCCTTTTACTGATATTTCCGAAGTTTTGTTGAGCGAGCATGTTTATGAGAATTTTAATTTCATTTGCTCGGAACAAAAAAGACAAATATGAAGAGACGCCATATCTAACATCTTTTTGGGCAAAGAAACAGTTTTTAAGGAAATTAAAATTAACTGTTTGAGTCCCGGGGGGGTATTGAAAAAAACACTTTCGAAGAATCCCAAGCAGCGCAACCGCGCTTTCTCTAAATAAGTACGAAAAGACCTAAGCAGTCCAACACTGTTTGTTTTATTTTATGTCAAGAATTATTAGTTTTATTTTATGTCAAGTGCGGGTGATAGCGCTTTCTTTATGTTACAATGATGTGCACTTGATTTAAATCAAGTGCACCGTCAGTTGTCCACAAGGTTTGAAATGTACTAGATTTTCTCGACATAAAATCTCAACAGTGCGATTGTGCTGCCTGGGACTCAAACAGTTAATAATAAAAAACTTATTTTTGAAGTGGGGGAGAACTGAAATATGTTTACATTAAGAACATATAGATGAAAATGATGTGTTATATGACTTAGCATTACTGCAGCATGAGAAGAATTATAGTTTTGGAGAGAAGGGTGAAATAAAATTCCATTTAGTTCGTCTTTGGTTAAATCGCAATTTTCTACTTCTATAAGAATGCTTCTTTTGATTTTCATAAATGTAGCTAATTCCTGATGATAATTATAAAATTCTTATACTAGATGGAAGAAATTAATGTTTATTTTAATTGTCATGCCCGAAATCACTAGTATTCCGAAATGTCACGCCCAAGAATCACTCAGGGTAATTTTTTGAATGCATCCTATTGTACCCGAATATATATCGTGGGAAGTTTATTTCGGCTTCAATTCAACAGAAGGCAGCACTTTACTGAAGGTTTCAAAGGATAGAGGTTTATGTTAAAAGTGCGCGGCAATTTTTTTGATTGCGCAGAAAACATTTCATTTTTGCAATTAAAAAAATTTACTATTTATGCACCCAAATCATCAAAATAACTTCACAGTTAAAGGGTTAACTGTGTTGAGTGCTGAAATAGAATCAGTCTATCAATTGTATTCTTATGCATGTTTTATCAGTTGATATTTCTGTATGGCGTTTTTAAAATGAAATCAGTATTATGTGTGTGTTTATCTCTTTTATTTTCTACTTTTAGGTACCCAATGTGCTTGTATTTTTTAGAATTGCTCCAATATGAACATTTTAGAAGAGAAATAACGAGTGCTCAGTGTGCTAAATTTATTGATGATCAGCAAATACTTCATTGGCAGCATTATACTAGGAAACGTACTAGATTTCTTCAACCACAGCCAGAAGCAGCTGCAGTAACTGCAGCAGTTCAACCATCACAGAAGCCCTAAAATTTTATTCATCCGAAACAAACGAGAGGAGAATAATCTCTCTCACTTTTTCTCTAAATTTTGTTTTCAAATTATTTGGGGCTAAATGTCATGTATTTTACTTAAGAAACCTCTGCATTAAATTGACATAAATGAATTACTTAAGTTTAATTGTTTTCTTTGTGATACTTCAATGTGTTATTTCCCTAAGAGATCCCTATGCAATTCTTGGTGTTGCCCGAACGGCATCGATACCGGAAATAAAACGAGCTTACAAGCGATTGGCAAGAGAGTGGCATCCCGATAAGAACAAAGGGCCCGAAGCCGAATCTAAGTTTATCGAAATCAACAAAGCATACGAACTTTTAACTGATCCAGAACGAAGGAGGCTCTTCGATCGCTCCGGCATAACTGAAGATACGCCGAACTTTCGACAATATCCCGATTATTCTCAGTTCAGAAGATACGAGAATGATCCGTTTGAGCATATATTTAGCCAAGGAGGTTTTAACTTTCAGTTTAAATTCAACCAAGGTTCATTCTATCATAAACATACCATTACTGCTAAAGCCTACGAGAATCACATTATCCCCAACAGTAATTTTCAGCCATATTTAATATTGTTTTATGGAGAGCTGTGTTTTGCTTGCATCAGTGCCGAGCCAATATGGAGAAAACTGATCGAAGAACTCGAACCACTCGGTGTTGGGTTTGCTGCCATTCATGCACAGCAAGAGAGTGCCTTAGCACACAAAATTGGTGTTAGTTCACTTCCCTATGTCATTGGTCTTGTAGATGGAAGAGCTGTTCATTATAAAGAACGTCAGTTGAGCTTTGTGAAGATTGTAGATTTTTGTCGCAAGATTATTCCTGCAAAAACAGTAATTAGCGTGACAGATAAGGTGGTAGACGACTTTCTCAATGGATGGTACGATAATAGAGTTCGAGTTCTGATATTCAGTAGAGCGGATTCCATTCGGCTTAGGTACATGCTGATTGCTTACAAATTCCGTAGCCGTGTGGCAGTGGGTCACGTATCTCTGGAAAGCGAGGATTCCAAAAATACGGTCAAAAGGTATAATGTGCAAACCAAAATGGAATCTCTTTTAGTTTTTAATGAAGATCCTTCTAAGCCTATTGCTACTTTGAGCATGACAGAACTGTCTGTTGCAACTATGAACGATGTTATAGACTCGAATAAATTTTTATTATTGCCTAGATTATCGTCGCAGACCATCTTCGATCAGCTGTGTCCCACGGAAGCCGTGCGAGCACGTAAATATTTATGTGTCATATTGATAACTAAGAACACGAACGAGCATGATCCATACAGAGCTGCTATGCGCGATTTCATTCAGAAGGTTGATGTGCCCAATGACAGAGTAAGATTTATGTTTCTTTTTGAAGAAAAGCAGAAAGAGTTTGTTAAAGCACTAAGTTCTGGTATGGGTACACCGGAAGATCCTCTTCTCCACGTCGTTCTTATTTGGAGAAAATCGCATGATCGTGTTCGATACCAGTGGCTGCAGCACGGTTGGGATATCGATGACGACAACATGAATGCCACAAAAGAGGAGTTGCATGCTGCTATGAATCACCTCATGCAATCGACAGAAACTTTACCATATGATGCTAAAGTATGTATGTTAACAGATGAACATGCTCTGAGTTTATTCACTAGAGTTCTGAACAGAATGATACTTATGGGAGATGTTCTATGGGATAATATTACACGTCAGGAAATATTGCCTGCATTATCAGTTGTCTTATCTGTTGGTTTCATTATCTTGGTAGGATACATTATGTCTTATTTGGTCCAATTAGAAGAAAAAAGCATTCAAGAGAAATACCAAAGAGAAGGCAAGCAAATACCGGGTATGTCTGTTAAAAGTAAACCAGAATTCCATTTACATATACATGAGCTCCGGGGCGAAACGTATAATGGTCTCGTTAGACTTCTTAAACCTGGTTGTAGAACTATTGTGCTGCTGGTCGATAATGAATCCAAGGTTAAATTGTTACCTGTATTCTATAGATGTGTGTACCCTTATCGTAAGAATAAGACTTTAATGTTTGCTTTCATTATGGTGGAGAAAAATCTGGAATGGTATCGACGTCTGCTCCTCCAAACTCTTGGTGAATCAAGGGAACTGAATATTAATCCAAAAAACTGTATTGGTACTGTTCTTTCTCTTAATGGCCATCGGAAGTACTTTTGCGTCTATCATGCGAAACATGCCGAACAAAGCTGGAAAAGGAAAGATGGTAAAGTGAGAAAAAATGAAAATTCTGCAGCCGGGGAGTTCATAGGGTTCGAGGATAGTAATTCCGAATCCGAGAATAGTGACGTCGAGTCTGGAAAAAAACAAAACATGGAGAATGATTTGTATGGAAATATTCTTTTTGAAGAACATCTATTAGATGGACTTTCTAACTGGTTAGATAGACTTTTTGAAGGATCTACGCAAAGATATTACATTCAGTATTGGCCAGATAATATGAAGTAATTCATCCATACTAGTCAAAATATGCGATTTAATATATTGGTTTGTTTTCTACTGCTTTCTTTATCTCACTTACATATAGAATCTAAAACTGCATCGTTTTCAGTGATGCTACTTAAATACATTATAGTATTAATTTTGTACCTGCAATAGATAAAGCAGATATAGATAATGAAGTAATATATTTATTAAGAAGACATCCGTAAAGGCTCTAATAAATTTGAATGATTACCGTTTCTGAATTAAAACTATTAGAAATTTAAATAGTTAATTGTTCAAAAATCAATATTTCAATTAATAAAAGAAATAAACAAAACCATTGGTTTTGGAACTGATGTCCATGTCAGGCATGCTGAAGATAATATTATGAATTATTGAATGCCATTAACTTTTTATGAAAATTTAATTCATGTAATTTTCCTTTTTTAGATAAAAGTTTATCAAAAGCATTGCTAAATTATCAGTCCTAAGCCAACTGTTTCACATAAATTTGACAGCTTTTAAATTTCTATAGCTGTTTTATTTTGAATCGATTTGTTCGGCACGACATGATGTTTAAATGAATTAAAACACACTCTACTTTGTAACTTGCCTTCTTAAATCATTGCTCATGCTTTTAAAAATATCGAAGTTTGTGAATTACTTCAAATATTGTAAAAAATCATTAACACATTAGATGTTTTTGTTTTAAAGTGGCCAACTTGATAATTTTTTATTTAATGTATAAAAGTTCTCCCCCTCCTTGAAAATTGAACATCTTCTGTATTTATTAAACTACTTATTTATTATCATTTCTTTTTCCCCCTTTTTTTTGGGGGGGGGTGAGTAAGCCATAACTGAAAAGCAAATTTTATGATATCCTGTCTGTCGTACTGTAAATGTTTGCATTTTAGTGTTCAGTATGAATAAGTATCTTGTAAATATGAGTACTTGGTTTATAAAAGACTTGTCACAGATGAAATTTTGTTCCTACTCTATCAAATGTGTTTGGATTGTCACTCTATTACCACTTGAATATCAAATGATTGTAGTTTGTTTTTCAAAAATCCATCTTATGATCTTGCAGCTTATAAATAAATTTTGTGCTGTCTGTATAATCTGGTTTTTTTTTTTTTTTTTTTTTTTTTTTTTTTTTTTTTTGACACTTTTAATAACCAAAACTCTTTAATAATCACCTGGATGATATTTGATTTCTGTAATTGATCTGATTAATATTATCAGTGAACTTATAATTCTTGAAACTTGAACTCAAAACTTGCTCAAATTGTAACTTTTATATTTTTACAACTGCAAATACTTAGTCACAAATACCAGATAACCTAGGGAGCCTATATATTTGTTGGAAAGCTTTGTACTGAGCTGAACGACATATTTTCCATTTCTTATAATCAAGAACTTCATTTCATTGTGAAATTATATTATTTTAAATAAATAACTCAACAGAAATTAAATTTATTTCTTCCCGTCATTCAGTCTACCAGAAAACCTTTTAAGCTTTCCTTTTAAATATCATATCTTTTGATTACACAAATAATGTATTTCCTCACATATTTTTGCCCCTAACGTTTCAGTGCCAGGTTTTGAAAATTTAAATAATTTTCATGTAATTTGCCCTTTTTCCAATGCATTTCAGAAATGAGCTCTGATAATTTTTAAAATGGAATTGCCCATATAGTGATTGTTTATTTTTTGCAAGCTACCACAAAGCTTTTCCTTCTAACTGAACTTCATACCAGGCTAATGCAAGAACCGACTCGTAGCAGCAGAGTAAAACGCAAATTGACATTCAGTCTCTGATTTCACAGAGTTAGCTGTACATTCATTTTCTGTAATTATTTATTTATTATTTAAGGCCCAAGGAGTAGCAGAGACAACAGTAAGAATGGGCAAGATTCAAGTTAGAAAGTATCTTTATTAGATATTGCATTGCTAATATTACTCTGCATTGCAATTAGAATATAAGTTCCTTTTAAAGAAATAATATTGTGATAGTTATCTGTAATTTAACCATAATTAGTTTTTATTTGTTATGTTCTTATCACAATTGTGTCTTTCTGAAATAAAATGATTCATATAATTTTCCCCTCTCAATTTTCATATGATAAAGTTAATAAAAAAAAGGGGAAATATGGTAAACAAAAATTAAAAATTACATTTTAGAATGCATTTGAGCAACATAATTGGCTGTTATGTTGCTCAAATACATTTTAACATTACACACTTATAACAATAATGTACACTAACATACACAGTTTACACATGTAATATGTATACAATAACATACACAGGTTATAACTACGTAACATTACACAGTTGTAGCCAAACTGTGTAATGTTTTCCAAAGAGGAAAACCTTCCATTCATGAAGTTATACAAACATGATGAGCAAGCAGTCCATGAAAATTTAAAAACTCCTCTCAATAAAGGGTAATTTGTATTGAACTGTAATATGCAGTGGTGGCCAAAATTGTGGACACTTTTGGAAATTTTTGTGTTTTTGAACTTTGTATGCTTATAGAGAAAACGTTACGCTTCACAAAATGCAAACTTGTATATATCATTTTAAAGAGAATTTATTACTGAATTCAATTATTTGCAATACAAAACACAAAATTCAATTATTTGCAATAAAAAAAAAGTTAAACGATAATAGTTATCGATATACATCAGATAGTGATGATTGCAGTGAGTTATCAGTACTTAGTAGGGTACCCTTTATTTTTGATTACAGCTTCACATCGACCTTTCATTGAGCTGACAAGAGTTTTAAGCTCTTCTTTCGTTATTACACGATGCCAGGAAAAAATTATAGCCTCAATTAGTTCCCTTTTATTTGAAGGGCGCCTCATTTGGACAAGAGTTTACAAACGGTGCCACAAATTTTCGATAAGATTGAGGTCAGGACTGCTTCCTGGCCATGTCAACAATTTAATGCTCTTTGTACGAAACATCTCTTTCGATATTTTGGCCGTGTGGCAAGGAGCAGAATCCTGCTGAAAAATAAACGAAGCATTGTTGGGAAAGAGATCTCTGATGGAAGGAAGTTTTGGTTCTAGAATAGTGTCAATGTATTTTCTGGCATTCAGTGTCCCATCGATGACATGAAGGCGACCAATACCATCTTTTGACATGCATGACAAATCATAACACTAACTGGGTTCTTCACAGTTGCTTGAATGCAGTCAGGATGTAGCTCTTCTATTCTGCATCTTGCATATTTTCGCCCATCACTACCGAATAACGATATCTTAGTTTCATCACTCCATATAACTTGTGACCACTGATCATCTGTCCAATTAATGTGTTCCTTTGCCCACTGTAGTCTTTTCTTCGTTGCTGAAAATTAAGATAAGGCTTTTTTCGTGGAATTCTACCTCTCAGTCGAACATCTGTTAATCTTCTCCTGATTGTTCTTGAACTGACAGAAACACCAGCATCATTCAGATCACTTCTGATGTCCACTGATGACATTTTTCTATCTTGGAGACATAGTCTTTTTATTCTTCTGTCATCAATAGATGTAGTGCACCTTTTTTCGGCCTTTTCCTTCTTTGTTTTTTATTGAATTTGTCTCTTGATATCGTAAACAAAACTTTCAGACTCCAGATGTAGTCACTGAACCACCCACCTGTCTTGCAATTTCAGCATAGACCACTTTCTCCTAACACAATAATATTACATCTCTTTCTAGGTGTCCAATCTGCTCTTTTATTTATGTCATTGCTTCTTGACTAAATATTAAAAATTTTTACAAAAATTCCTACTTGTAATTGCAGTGTATAAAAAACAGGTCAAACAGGTCTTCCTTCTACAGAACAAAGCAAAATACTGCATTGTTTCAAGCGTAATCATGATGTCAGCTTCTACTGGCAGTTACTAACATTTGATTGGTTCTCAGAGCAAGAACAGCGGTTGACCAGGAAAGCTAGACATTACAAACCACTTCATAACTGTGTTTCTTATTTATATTAAAGTACATATAACTTTTTTTGTATTGCAAATGATTGAATTTTGTGTTTTGTATTGAATTCAGTAATAAATTCTCTTTAAAATGATATATACAAGTTTGCATTTTGCAAAACGTAACATTTTCTATAAGCATACAACGTTCAAAAACATAAAAATTTCCGAAAGTGTCCACAATTTTGGCCACCACTATATATAGTTTGAAATCTATTAATGAATGAAGCTGAAGGCACAATGAATATGTAGTGTTCTTCCCTTTTATCTGTTAACTGTGAGGAACCTAGTGAACAATTAAGCGAATAATCACTCAAGTTCAGTAAAAGAAATTTAAATTCAAGAAGGGTTAATTACCCTTTATTGCTCAAAAGAAAGGTGTAAAGACAGTCCCTTTCTCAGGACATATAACAAAGATTCCACTTGGGCTTAAACTCAAAAATTTAAGAAATAAGAACTTAACTAATGACTAACTGAAGAAATTTAGCCGAAGCTAACACAATTCTAACTAGTTGGCTGCTAAATATCGAATTAGCTAGCGAAGCTATCAAGAACACTTAATACGGCGAAGCATAATAACATCTAAGAGAGATGTGGCCAAAAGACAAATGCACACTAGCCAGAAACTCTGATTCTTTCTGTGAAGTCAGTGGAACTCCGACTTAAATACTACTCCTTCTCATTTGCATTCAACATGATTCTAAAAACTCATTCTGGTAAGGAATTGTAAGCTGGAATTAGGAGAGCTAGGGCAGTTGCATAAACTTAAAAATAACTATTATAAACAGTAAAAATCCTTTCCTTGTTTCAATATAATGGATATTGAACCTTGTAGGAAGAATAAAGCTAAATTTTCAGAATGAACAAAATACTTTTATTTGAATTTTAAAACAGAACCAAAAAAAAAAAAAAAAAAAAAAAAATGCTGCAGCTCTTAACTATCAAAATTTTAAACTCTTATTTACTACAGTTAAAACTCTTACAACTATTAAAAAACTAAAATCTTAAACTCTCCAAACAAAATATATCAAAAAAAATATTCCGAATCCCTTCTTGTTGCCACACCGTAAAATGCAAGCCCTTATCCTATTATTTATATTTCACGTTCTCTTTAAGTCACGATCTTTACATAAACTTAGGATAAACCTTAACAATATTACTTCTTTCTTTCAGTTTCTTTGTTATAACATGTGGCATTCAATATGATTTAAAGTACAGAGTACATTTATGTCCAAAATTATCTTTACATGCATGAAATTCTCTGAAAATATGAATAGTAATTTCGTGAATATGTGCAGAATGATACATAACATGCAACACATAAGTACTAAAGAAAATTTTAAGATCACTTCACGTGATATGTAATTGTAGCATGACCTAATAAAAACGGTAATGAGTTTAGAAAAAAAATGAAGCCTTATGAAATTAATATGGAAAGTAGTCTTTAACTTGTACAGACATATAACATGTTTTCATGCGGACAATAACATTGTTAACCCCAGTTTGAGGAATTAAGTTCCTAGCACTTCTCTAGCAGTGCAGTCTTCAGGTCATTTACATTTCTAGCAGGAGGATGTGTCCGTGCAACTATTTTCCAAGGTAGTCTCGTAAGTTTTCTGTGCTTTTAAATAAAGGGTTAAGATCAGGAGAGTTTACTGGCCAAGGTATCAGTTGAATGTCTTCTTTTTCAAATAATTCATCAATAAGGTTTGCTTGGATATGGACAATCATTATCATCCATAAATAGATCCGTATGCTCTTTGAAAAGTCTTACAGAAGGTTCATTCAGATATCTCTAGCTGGTCACAAAACCACTGTTGAAAATGTTTTAAATATAATTTCATTGTATGGCTGCAAAAAGCATCTTTATATTGTTTTATCATGTAATCCCTCTTATTACCCCATAACATTAATACTAAGCACCTTACATTGTAAAAAAATTAGCTGATTTTTAACAGTTATTTTAAGTTTATACCACTTTCCTACCTCTTCTAGCTTCAGTTTACAATTCTTTAGCAGAATAAGTTTTTAGATTCACGTTAAATGCAAATGAGAAGTGGAGTAGTATTTAAGTCAAAGTTCCATTAACTGTGGTAGAGAGAGTTAGGATTCCTGAATAGTGCACATCTGCCCTTTGG